TCCTGGGGAAGGAAGGGAAAGGATGCATTCACACTTTATAGACAACCTTGGCTTCAACCACATCATTTGCTCCATTTTTTTTTCTCCTATGAAATATGAAAAAGCAGATGTAAAAGGCTTCTCTGTTTCTCTTTAAGAGAAGAAGATAGTGGTTGTTTTGCACATTTTAATTTAGCATATTTAAAAGGGTTGAGAGTTGATTTTTTTTAATGGAAAGATTTATTTTGGATTAAAAATTAATGTGGCATAAGCTAAGAATACTTTTTTGAATAGCAGGAGGCAAGAGAAAGGCTCTGCAGATCTCTTTGTAAGCCTCCAGCGAAACCCATGGTCTCCCCGAGGCCAAGCAGACACCGCCTGACTGGGTCCCAGCATCAGGAGCACATGCACCACAATTAGAGTATTTCCTGCGGTGTGCTGGGGGAGCGTGGCACACCTGCTAGCTAGGCCTCTCATCTCTGTAATTCTCCATCACAAAATGAAAGGCTGAACCTGACTCTCCTGTCACCCTGCTGGCTCCCACCACCATCTCCTGAATGCTCTCAGCTTCTTCTCACCATTGCCTTTCCAGCCCTTTCCACTGTGCTTCCTGGGACCCTGCTTCTTAGTAAACAACTCCCTGCTCACTGTCCTCATTTGCAGAGACCTGGAATGCCCAAACCAGTGGAGGCTACTCGTTCTCCCGCTTTCCAAGCACCACAAGACTTAGGGATTAATTTTATCCTGTATAGTGTCTTATGTTTCTGAACATTACACTTTCACCTTGGCTAAAATGATTTATATTGAATTTCAGTCTGTTTGGCTGTATAATCCACTTTTTCTTTTCTATCAGGATCTTCTACTAGCTGCTAGTTACTGTTATTTATTTACTATAGACTTTGACACCTGATTGATTGTCTTTCTCTCAGTCTAAACTCCTGCCTCCATAGGAGACTTCAATAACAAGAACTAAACCATTCACCACCCTAGTTTCATAATTCGAAAACTCCTTTATTTCTAGAGACAATCTCCTTGCCTCAATTTGAGTCACATACTCAAGGGTCATCTCCAAAAAGTATTACTCTTTGTTATGGTTTAAATGTGTCTCCCCAATGCTATTATGTGTTAGAAACTTAATCACCAATGTGATGATATTGAGAGGTTGGACCTGGTTAGAGGTTATTAGACTGTGAGGACTTGGTTCCCATCAGTGGATTAATGCTGTTATTGTGAGAGTGGGTTCATTATAGTGGGAGTGGGTTTCTAAAGAAGGATGAGTTCAGTTCCCTTCTCTCTCTCTTACCCTCTGTTTTACCTTCTGTCATGGGATGATGCAGCAAGAAGGCCCTCACCAGATATGGCCCTTGACCTTGGACATCTTAACTTCCAGAATCATGAGCTAATACATTTCTGTTTATTATAATCACCCACTCTGTGGTATTTTGTTATAGCATCACAGAAAAACTAAGACATCCTCTGAAGCCTTCTGCTCCCTTCAGATTTCCTCATGCCCTTACTCCCTGTGGACTCTTGGTTTCTCCATTTTCTCTCCATCAGCTGACATTCTCCATTCTTTATTTCCTCTTCTCCCCTCTGTGGACTCCACAATGGATCACCCTTTCCTTCTCAGCAACTCTCTGAACTTTTAACACTCTCCTCAAGTTCCATTCACAGCTCCCCACACCCCATATTCCTAACAGAAGATCTCATACACCACTGAGAAAATATACCCTCTGGAATCATCTCCCTCACCTTCAGCAGCTCACTGTTTCTCGCCTCTTCTTTCCCCAGTCTCAAGAGTGTTTCCTTGAAACCACTCTCTCCTCCCACACCTGGACTTGCTCTACCAGTTTTCACCTCTCTTTCCTCCTACAATTTCTTCTCCCTCACCTATAAATATGGCCAAGTTTTTCCCATCCTAAGAAAAGAAAAACAAACAAACAATAAAAAAATAAATAAAAACCTTTTCAATTAACCTAACTGCCTTTCCTCAGGCTCACCTCTAACTAGGTCACATCTCTTCCAAATTTCAAGTTGCCTAACTAGCTCCTCCACCTGCTGCAGCTGGGCTTCTTGCCCCAAATATCTCATGCCAACAGCTGTCACTAAAGTCAATAACTTCTGAATTGCCAATTCCAGTAGATGTGTTTCCACCTTCGTCTTACTGAAACGCTTGACCTTGTTACCACTCTTCTCCTTCCTGAAACTCTGGATGCTCTTGGCATCTGGGATACCTGTCCCTCTGATTTCCATAGTATCTCACAATCCTGTCGCCTGTTTAGGCTTCTCCTCTGATACACCAGAAGTCTCCAAAGGTACTCCTTGTTTCACTTTTTCCCAAGATGAGCTCTTAGACCTCCATTACTTATGTTAATACCTTGAAGTCGCTAAACTGACAGTAGCTTTCTTTCATGCATAACCATGAGTTTCAGAGCAAGGAGTTCAACTACCTTTAGACCACTCCAGCTCACCCCTTAAACACAGCACGTCCCAAACCAGCTCCTCCTCCTAAATTCTGCAATTCCATCACCCTGGCCCAGGAACCAAGCTAAAACATAGAAGTCACTACCAACTTCCCTTTTTCCTTTGACAGCCGCATCATATCAACGGCCAAATTAAATCAAACTCATATTCTCTGTCTTTAACGCTCTCTCCTCCTCCTCCCTTCTTTTCTCCTCTCTCTCTCTCTCTCTCTCTCTCTCTCTCTCTCTCTCTCTCTCTCCTCCCCTAGATTGCTGAAATGGCCTTTACACAGATCTCCCTGCTTCCATTCCTAGTTATCTCTAGTCTATCCCTTATAGCATAGTCAGCACAATCTAATGAAATACAAATCTTACCAAACCAAGTTCATGCTTAAAATATTTACATAATTCCCTGAGCTCTATAGGAATGAATCAAAGCTCTTCACATACAAGGGCTTCCATGGTCTAACATCTGCAGATGACTTAGCCTCATTGATCAGTCCCCCTTACCTGATCCTTTCTGCTTTAGCAACAATGAATGGCTCAGGGTGCACACCTCCAACCGCCCCAACCAGGCAGGATTCTGAGCCTTTGTTCATATTTCTGCCTTGCCTGGAATTCCTCACCATATTCCTCCTGTGCCTCACATGGATGAATCCCACTCGTTCTTTAAGATTCAGCTCAGAAGTCCCCTCAAAGCCCCTTAGCCGGTGTATGATCCTTTACTCAGAACTTGCATAACATCCTGTGCATGTCTCTGTCTAATTGATTTTTGCTGTCTTCTCTGTCCATTCTTGCACTACATTGTAAGCTTCTTAAGATATAATTCGACTTTCTGTCCCTCTTGCCCAGTCCAATGCCAGATCTCTGGAAGGTACTGGGGAAAAGCATTGCATTTGGAGGTAAGAAACCAGAATTCAAATTCTTTCTCTTCCTCTATATTCTGATATCATATAAACCACCTTTACCTGTTTGGATCACACTTCCTTATCTCTAATAATTCTTTTTTACCTTTCAAAGAAAACCTGAAAATTGAGTGAGAAAACAAATAAATATTCTTTGTAAACTTATAAACAAAGTATTATGAAAATATTTTATTGTATAGAATGTGCCGAATGACAGAGAAACAAAAAGTCTATGCAACAGTATGGATTATGGACACATTTCAGCAAGACTCCATGTTCATTCAAAAATCTGCATCAGCTTTTTTATGTTGACATGTGTATGGTTTGCATATTTGTGTCCCTCCAAAACTCATGCTGAAACTTAATCCCCAATGCAATAGTATGAAAGGCGGGGCCTTTTGAGAAGTGATTGAGACATGAGAGGTCCACCCTCATAAATAGGATGATACATAAGGCTTCAGAGTACCACCTGGCCCTTTTTGCTCTTCTATCTTCCCACCATCTGAAGACACTCAGACAGCACCATCTACAAGAAATGGCCCCCACTAGACACTGAATCTTCCAGTGTCTTGATATTGGACTTCCCAACTTCTAGAACTGTGAGAAAGATTTCTTTGTTTATAAATTTCCCAGTCTAAGGTATTTTAATACAGTATCATGAATAGGCTGAGACAGTGCGGTAGTTTGTAAAGCATAGTGAGGAGATGATTTCTTTATTTTAAAACCTAGTCAATGTGCCCCCAAAGGCACTAAAATTGAACTTATGGAAATAATCAACTTATATTGCTTAACAGATATGACAAGAGCTGGGTCTATAGTTCCAGCCATTTGGAAGGCTGAAGCAGGAGGATCACAGGTTCAAGACCAGCCTGGCAACTTAGTGAGGCCGTATTTCAAAATTCATAAAATAAGAGAGGCTGGGGATATAACTCAGTGGTAGAGCACCCTTCGGTTCAATCCCCAGTAACACCAAAAAGGAAAAAAAAAAAAAGATATGACAAGAATACTAATTTAACTTCAAGTTTGCCAGAACCTAGATCTAAAGAGAAGAAGTTAAAGAATGACTAGCATCACATCTTTTTTTTCCTCTGTGTCTCCATACTGTCCCTTCTACCCATCTCTTCCAACTGGCACATTTTATGCATCTCCCAATCCTATTTTCCAAACCAGGTCATGGAAAAGGACAATTCAGATGAGATTTCACAAACCAATCTGATTTACTGCAAGTGAGTATGAATCTTTATAGTAAAGTGGAGCTAGAAATCTCATCCAGGATGTGCATCAAAAAGCTTTGAGAAGGCCAGGTGCACACACCTGTAATCCCAGTGGCTCAGGAGGCTGAGGCAGGAGGATTGCAAATTCAAAGCCTGAGCCTCAGGAAAAGCAAGGTGCTAAGCAACTCAGTGAGACCCTGTCTCTGAACAAAGTACAAAATAGGGCTGGGGATGTGGCTCAGTGGTCAAGTACCCTTGGGTTCAATCCCAGTACCCCCCCCCCAAAAAAAGCTTCAAGAAACCAAAAACATCAAGGCAATAGCAACATAATCATAACCATCTGCCCTTCGTGGGGCAGAGAGGGCAGTGATGGTGCGCTCAGAGCAGGGCAGGAGGCAAAGCCTGAGATTCATAGGCAGAGACCTGGCTCTGTCACTTACTGACTGGATGGCCTTTGGCAGGTGACTTCATCTTTCAGGCTTCCATTTCCTCACATGTCACATGGGGATCAATCCCAAGACACAGCTCATAGAGTTGTTGTGTACACACCTGCACAATCAGAGACAGACAGAAAGAGACAGGAACAGAGACACAGAGAGAAGAAATTCACATATTGAAATTTAATGTTTGAGGAAAAGTAAAATTTCAGGGAGATAAAGGAAGAGCCCAATAATGCAGCTCCTAGGCTCAGTTTACAAAGTTTAGGTTTTGTTTAGACACTGAGGAGGCTTTGCAAGTTCTTGAATAATAGCATGACCCATTTATAGATCTGTTCTTTTGAAAACTGATCTGGAAGCAAGTGGGAGCAGTGGGCTTGAAGGGAGCTATCAGGAGGGATAAGAACCAGACCAGAAGCTGTTGTTTAGTCCAGTGAGACCTCATGAACGCTGACCTAGGGCCGTGTAAAACCAGGATGAGGAAGGAGAGACAGAACTGGTAAGAGAGCTCCTGTTGTTCACAGCTTTGTGACTGGGAGCACCATAGTGTTCTTTACTTTATGAATGGGAATCATAGATAAGGACATGGGATCGGAAGGTCTGCACTTTAGATTCTTGTAAGCTATCTTGGTAGAAAGATCCACTTGGGTACAATAACTGTCTATTGCCATGACTGTGATCAATATTTTGGTATACTTCATTAGACTATTGGTTATTATTCCAGAAGATTCTGACTTTTTTTTTTTTTTATGCAATCAGCAGGGTTCACCAACAGGAACAACTCTTTATAGCTAACCTGGATGGAATGTGTCTCTTCTATTAAGTGACTCCTTAGGTCTTCCCGGCCCCCTGCTGTGCTGCTCCCAGTTAATTACATTTGTTTGCTGCTAGGTGGATGTTTGAATCCAGGCAAGATCCCATCCAAACTCTTCTCTCCCTGTCTTGCTAGAGAGCCTGTGTTCTACTCCTCACCCAAACTGGCTGAAAACATGAGCAAATCTGATTCTCTTCCAACTAAGTCAAACAGTCAGTTCCTTCATTCTCCTTATCAAAGGACTCACCCTGGCTGCAGAGGCTGAGCCTCCCCAGGGAAAGCTGTGCTGAGATCTACGGTCACATCCACCTTATCTGTGTTGTACCGTTTTGTTCCTCTTTAAACTCTCCTCCTGTTGTCCCAGTAGATACTGAGGTGGAGCTTAATTGTCTGTGATCCCCAGTCCCCAGTGGTGCCTCTGAGAAAGACTGGGCCCACATTAACACTGGTCCAGTTGGGGGCAACAGGTCCTTTGGTAGCCCCTGCCTCTGTCAACCATTCCACACCCCACATCCATCCAAACCCCAGGCAAGGCGAGCCTACTGCTATTGCTGGTCATATCTAGCCTGTCTTTTAGACAGGCTTCGGTGTATTGATCGATTTCTTTTAAAGTGATATTAGGAGTTATTGTGTGCAAAACATTGAACAAGACGATATTGGAGCCCTCCTGAGGACGAAAGGGACATGTGATTTATGTTTTCAAATATGTTAAGGATCAATGGGGTAAAATGACATCTCACAAATGAAACCAGTGAGGCTGGGTGTGGGTGGGCACGATGAGTGGGTGAAGAGGCAGGCATGAGCTAAATCTGACGGCAGGGAACTTTTAGGTCTTTTCTCTGCAGAATAGCTGGGAGGAGAGCCCAGAAGGCTCTGAAGTCAGTCAGGGTCTCTTTAATGCAGGTGCTAATGCAAGATGCATTTTATGTAACATTCCTGTGTGTAGAATGTATGGGAATTCCTTGGGCATGCAGTTTACATTTTCCAATTTGATCCTCTAACAAGCCTTGTAAACAGGGCAGGTTTTAGCTCAAAAAAAAAAATATATATATATATATATATGACATTTGTCCAGTTTCTTTCTAACCAATGGGTAATTTTCTGCTGGTCAGGGACTATCTTGTGTCTCCAGGAACCTGGAAAAAAAAAAACTGAACTGAAGAGTTTGTGGCAGAACTGCAGCAAAACTCAAGAGTTTTTTGTGCCTTTGCAAAAAAATAAATAAAAAATAAAAATAAAAGGAAAAAAACAACATTTGAGAAAATTAGATCAGCTTGGATATCATCTAAAAGAATATCTCATTGTGTATATATACTGCTGTTTCTTTATCCATTCACCTAGTGAAGGGCATCTAGGTTGGTTCCACCATTTAGCTATAGTAAATTGAGCCACTATAAACATTGATGTGGCTGTGTCACTGTAGTATGCTGATTTTAAGTCCTTTGGGTATAGACCAAGGAATGGGATAGCTGGGTCAAATGGTGGTTCCATTCCAAGTGTTCCAAGGAATCTCCATACTGCTTTCCTTAGTGGTTGCACCAATTTGTAGTCCCAACAGTGATGTATGAGTGTACCTTTTCCCTCACATCCTTGCCAACACTTATTATTGCTTATACTCTTGATAATTGCCATTCTGACTGGAATGAGTTGAAATTTTAGAATAGTTTTGATTTGCATTTCTCTAGTTCCTAGAGATGTTGAACATTTTTCGTATATTTATTGATTGATTGTATATACTCTTCTGAGAATTGTCTGTTCAGTTCCTTGACCCACGTATTGATTAGGTTGCTTGTTTTGGGGGTGTTAAGTTTTTTGAGTTCTTTATATATCCTAGAGATAAGTGCTCTATCTAATGTGTGTCCCATTCTATAGGCTCTCTCTTCACCTCATTGATTATTTCTTCTGCTGAGAAGAAGCTTTTTAGTTTGAATCCATCCTATTTATTGATTCTTGATTTTATTTCTTGTGCTTTAGGAGTCTTGTTAAGGAAATTGGGGCTTAATCATACATGATGAAGATTTGAGCCTACATTTTCTTTTATTAGGCACAGAGTCTCTGGTCTAATTCTTAGATCCACTTTGAGTTGAGTTTTGTGCCTGATGAGAATGGAATATTACTCAGCATTAAAAGAGAATAAATTTATGGCATTTGCAGGTAAATGGATGGAGCTGAAGGATATCATGCTAAGCGAAGTAAACCAATCCCAAAAAACTAAAGGCCAAGTTTTCTCTGATAAGTGGATAGTGATCCATAATGGGGGGGTAGGGCACATGGGAAGAATGAAGGAATTCTGATTGGGCAAAGGGGAGTGAGGGGAGGGAAGAGGATATGGGAGCAGGAGAGATGGTGGAATGAGATGAACATCATTACCCTGGGTACATGTATGACTGCACACAAGGTGAAACTCTACATCATGTACAACCAGAGAAATAAAAAGAAATTCATTCGTGTACAATGAATCCAAATGCATTCTGCTGTCATGTATACCTAATTAGAATTAATAAATAAATATTAAAAAGAATATCCTGATGTTAGAAATATCACTATAAATTTAATATGCTAAGGGAAAAAAGTTTCAGAATTATAAGAAATTCAAAAATTGCTGGGTTCATGCAGAAGAATAAAGACTCAAGTCCACAGAGACTAATGAAAGATGAGGCCAAAGGTAGGGTCCGTGGATTAAAGGCTATGAGACCTCGGTTTGGATTCATGGCTATGAGAGAAACTGCTGTGTGCTCTTCCTTGGAAGAATATCTTTAGTCTCAGCTACTTTTGTCCTTGGGTTTCTGTGGCCCATCTTATTGTGCTGATCCCTGAGGGACTTGGGGAATGGAAGGGAGTTTCAAGAAGTTACAACAACTTCAAGTCCTCGATGGTGTGGCAATCTTTACCAACGCCCGTGTCCTTGGTTGGGCTGGGTCTTTTAGTGGGACTTGAGGTGCAGTAATGGGGAAACTATCTATCCTGGTGAACTGTATTCTAAGGGTGACAGGGAAGATTAGGATAGAAATCTCTTTAGGGGAAATTTTTTCTTTTATGGTAGAAAAAAAAATAGTTTTCTTTCTCCAGGGAAAGGGTCAGGAAATGCAGCATCTAATTAATTAAGTTTAAGGATTCTAACTTAACACTTAGCCAGTGCTGGTTTTTGGAACCATGGAACGAGACCAAAGATGACTCTGGTGCACGAAGCCTGTGAAGGACTAACCCCGGAGCACTCACTTGTGATGTTAGATAGTATTATGGCCTAGGACCCAGGAAAACATCAATCTGTCTTGGCTCAGCCTTTTCTTTTCCTTATGTTTTTACAAAGTTGTACATTTACAAAGAAAAAAAAAAGTAAAAGAAAGATAAATTCACACTTTATTGTTAGCTAGGATCGGGATCGAATCCAATGCAGAGAAACGCAGGCTGTGCTGGGGCATCTTTTCTCAAGCTATATAGAATTCAAGCGCTTTAGCCAAGGGACAATTCAACATGCATGTTAGCACAAGGGCAAACATAAGCAGAGAAAAACGTGACTCGCTACGTACCAAGCTGGTCTAAACCGCCTGCACAGGAGCCCAGGGACCACTGCTGCTACTTAGAAGAAATCCAATTTATCAGTTTTTTACTTTATATTTCATACCTTTTGTGTCCTGAGTTAAAAAAAAAAAGTCACTGCCCACTTCAAAGTTTTAAGGATTTTCTGGGGTTCCTTCTAGGAATTTTAGAGTTTTAGTTTGACATGAGATAGGTGCTTAAGGATTTTTTTTTCTCCATACAGATATCCAGTTGTTCCTGCACCATCTGTTGATGACTCTCCTTTTCTTACCAAATTACTTTTGTTGAAAATCAGTTGACAATATATGTGTGAGCTCTCTATTGTGTCCCACTGACCCATATTTCTGTCCTTACCAATACTACATTGTCTAGATTACTATAGTTTTATAGTAAGCCTTAAAGTCAGGTTAGGTAAGCATCCAACTTTGTGGCTGATTTTTCAAAATTATTTTGGATAGTCTAATCATTTGCAATTCCAAAGACATTTTAATAGCTTTATTTTATTTGTTTATTTTTTTGTGGTGCTGAGGATCGAACCCAGTGCCCCTCATGTGCTAGGTAAGTGCCCTACCACTGAGCTACACCCACCAGCCCACCATATACATTTTAGAATCAATGTGTCAATTTCAATAAAAATGTTAAAGTTTTGATAGCGATAACATTGAATATATAGATCAATTTAGAGGACTGACATCTTGATGGAGCCTGCTAAGTTGTCCCACCCTTACTGATTCAATTGTGTGGGTGAACTGAATTGT